ATAACTGTAATTAGGTGAATAACTAAAAATCGCTTTTCAATGCTCATTGTATCGACGACTTAGTCCAAATTACCAACGGATAATTGCAAGTCACAACTCCATAGTATCTGAGCATCTGCAATGAATAGTGGACTATTTCCTGAAACCTGCTACAGGTGAAGTTCATCATAGCATTCTGCCAGGCGCAAGGGACTTACAACTGAACAATGGCAGAAATGCGAGCGCTGCTCTATTGTGTTTGACGGATGTTTACCGCCGCAAACATTTTTCAGAAAACAAACTGCATTCAATCAACTCGACAGTATCCTTCTATGAGAGCAAGAACCTAGCACTGGACAAAACACGAGAAGACCTGCACGGTAACTGCTGGCCGAAATACTGTATATTTTACAGTTGCTACCGTTTTACCAAAATACAATCAAATTACAACCGAATTACAACTCAACTTATGGTCAGAATTCAGAATTGTTTATGTGATGGAGCAGCCTTAACATTAACTTTTTTAAACGAGTTGCCATTATTGAACTCTCAGCAAGCTATGCAATCAGGAAATACAATCCGCCCATTTCCTCACACTTCCGCCTAGACCAGTTGTATTAGAAGCCTATCATCTGCTTGCTACTCCAGCACACTGTATGCATGGCAAGGGCATACACGATCTTAATGATCACTGAAGTTGACAGCACTGTTGCTCGACGAACGTAGTCGCCACAGTATGCTACCGTTTGAGGTACCCGGGGATCATTCACTATAAACTTAATTTAAATTTAACTATGTTTAAATTAGCAAGTCAAATATTATCAAGAAAAATGGATTATCAAATGCACCTACCGTTGCAATGGCATCGCAAATGTCAAAGTCTAATTTTAATCGGCGTGAGTCTACCGTACGAAACGTCAGCTAGCAATCGTTTATCTAAAATGTAAATATACCTGCTACCTCAGCTACTGTCCTCTAGATCAGAATGACATTGTAAATGTCATTTTGCCAGGTAAAGACTTTCAAATTCGAGCAGAGATCTAAATGTTTCAACTCCAGCGCAGTTCGTCATTGAAAGAACCTCCTAATGAAATGACTAAAATCGTTTTCAAAAGGGAGAAATTTTAATCAGAGCTGAGTGAATGTCTTCAGCCAGAAGGACAGCTTTCATTAAAAAAAGAGCCACAGAATGTTCAGCAAGGATATATTAGAACATATCAACCTGCGGTTCGGTGCATACCGATTGTCGCAGACTATTATCTCGGCACATGATAAAGACGATCAATTATATCGTGCCAAATATCCATTTGGACAGGGTTATCGTAGGCGAGTGGTTTACAAGTCAATAAAGCAACCATGTTCAATTCAAATTGAATTTTTAAAATTTAAAATTGAAATTAGGTCTACAGCATTGCTGTTGAATTGCCTTTATACTTTTGCATCCAATTATTTGCAATGGAATTTTTTCCTATTGCAAAAATATCTATTGACCTGTTTTGCATAAGCACTTTTTACCGACTGACAAAATGAGAGAACTCTCCGTTGTAGCAGTGCTGTAGTTCTTCAAGGTAATTTGCTCTCAGCCGCGAGCAAGTGTGCTGTGTATGTGAACACCTACATGTGCATTCATGCATTTTATCCACATGTGTGTTATTTTTTAGTTTGGCTGCTAGTTTCACAGCGAAAGTTCGCTCTGCTCTGATTTTCATACGAGAAGCTCGCGAGCTGGCGTAGAAGATTTTTTCAGGCAGTTTTCTAAAACGGACAGACTCTCATCTTGACCTCCACATCCGCTTAGATCACCACCTCCAATCATCACTATATCTTATTCGTTGATTGACAAAATGAATAAACATGACGATCAGTTAGGCCAGAATCGAATATTTTTGAACTTTTTAGGGGGATATCGCACTCTACTTTGGAAAACAGAAAGTTCATCTGAACCAATTGGAGAAATTAAGTACCTTTGAGTAGATTACGCAAGTGATGGTAAGAATGACGTCGAAAAAGAAATATGGATTAATGAGACAAATGCTTTGTCGTGGTACTCAAACCAGGCAGTGT